AAATTATTACCTAACTTGGGAGGGACTGGAGAGCATTATGCTGAGTGAGCTAACTCAGTCCCACAAGGATAAATATTGTATAAAATCATTATTGTAGCAGGAGTATAAGGATCCAAGAGAGGGGGAGAGTGGAAGCAGAGGGATGAGGATGTGCAGGGGGTGGGTGGGATTAATCATAGGGTTGTAAAATTTGATGGAACGGGTGAGGGAAATGGAAAGAATCTGATTTTGAAAACAATGTACTCGAATCTTATAAATAAACTAGTTAAAATTTTTTTAAAAATTGCAATTCCAGTGGAGTTTCCCCCCTTTGCTGTTCTCAGTAACAGCAGGAAAGTACATCCTCAAAATACTATCATGCCTTAGAGGTGATTTGGGTTTGATTCCAGACCACAGCAATAAATCAAATTTTTCAATAAACCAAGCTACATGATTTTTTTTGTTATTTTCCTAGTGCCTGTATTTAGAAGTGCAATTGGAAACTTCCATTCTCTTTTTTTACCAGCTGTCAATAGCCCAGTATTCTTAGTTGTACTCATGAGAAACCTATACATAATGTGAGAAATAGTTGTCCCAGCAGGACAAGGAAACACTTCATGGCCTGAATTCAGGAAAGGTGTGCATCGGGGTTGTATCCTTTCTCCATATCCCTTTTATCTGTCTGCTGAGCAAATCATTCAAGAAAACGGACTTTATGAAGAAGAACGTGCCATCAGGATTGGAGGAAGACTCATCAACAACCTACATTCAGCAGATGCTGTAACCTTGCTTGTTAAAAGTAAAGAATATCTGCTTCAGAATATCAAGGGCTTCAGCCTTCAATATGGATTACATCTCAATGTCAAGAAGACAAAAATCATCACCGCTGGGCCAACAGCAATGTCATCATAGACAGGGAAGAGATTGAAATTGTTGTCAACAATTTCATTTTACCTGGATCTACAATTAACAACCATGTTAGCAGAAGTCAAGAAATCAAAAGATATCTGCATTGGAAAAAAAGAAACAAAACAAAACTATTACAAAGGTTCTCTTTAAAATGCTGAAGAAGGTCAGTTTAAAGACTAAAGTGGCAAAATTCTAACCAAGGTATTTTAAATTGCCTCCTATGCATCTAAAAATTGGACAATTAGTAAAGAAAACCAAAGAACTGATTGCCCTGCATTGTGGTGTTGGTAAGGAGTACTGACTATATAATGGAATGCCTAAAGAACAAATGAATCTGTTTTGGAAAGGGTGCAACCAGAATGCTCCTTAAAGACAAGGATTATGATGCTTAATCTCACATTGTTGTTGTTATGTGCTGCCAGGTCACTTGCGACTTGTAGCGACGCTATGTACAATAGCTCTGACACCTGCCCTATCCTGAGCCCATCTCACTGACACTAGCACACCTACCCTCATTACCCTAATTACTGTGTTAATCCATCTCATCTGGGGTCTTCCTCTTCTGCGCTCCACCCTTCCAAGCATGATGTCCTTTTTCCAAAGACCTCCTTGCCACATGTCCAAAGAATTTGAGACAGAGCTTCAAAATC